ATCGATGGAGTTGAGTTGTTGAGTTGTGATCACTTAAGGTATCATCTGTCGTTTGTTACACTGGTTGATGCTCAAACCGAGTTAGTGAGCACGCCCTTCAAACAGTATTTCGTTGTCCATGGATAAACGCCTAGATATATGCAGGTGTGTTATAATTCTGGTGAACCTTGTGTAAATTTAGTCTCGTCCCGACATGGTTGACATAATCACAACTCACTCACTCACTATCTAGTTCTGGCGAAGCCCACACAATAACATACCAGAGCCGAACAGTGTTTGGTTACTGGGACTATTGAAAAAATGCAACATATTCTAGTCTTCACAAAATGCAACATATTCTAGTCTTCACAAAATGCAACATATTCTAGTCTTCACAAAATGCAACATATTCTAGTCTTCACAAAATGCAACATATTCTAGTCTTCACAAAATGCAATATCTTCTAGTCTTCACAAAGCGCAATTACAAAAAGCAATTGCAGAATTGTTAGTCAATAAAATCTTTATACATGTTCATGGACATGACTTGGAACAGATTTTTGTCGCTTTTACAAAAAAAATAATACATTCCTGCAATTAGGGATGCAGTTCGTCATCAGGGTTGAAATAATTATTATGTGCCTCAGAGAGACACTATTGACATGTCTGAAACTACCAGATCCTAATGACGTGGCTGCATACGAGTACTTTCTAACGGTGATTTCGACCCCATAAAACCATTACCAAGGCACATATGTACACAGCCTGGTTCAGACAGACTGTAATAAGTAGCTAATTATATCATAAATTACCATGGATTAGCCACGATTAAAAAGATGCTAGCCAAGTCCACAGGGTAGGCGCCATGACATCAGGTAGTCGATGACGGATACGTGGTGTGTAATTTTGTAATGGAAATAATTGCTTTGTTAGAGATGAAATAGATGCATAAGATACCTTAAACCCATCTCCCTCTCTGACATCTATTAATCCTATGCAACCAAACAACATATATTGACGTGAACTCGACTTGTATTTTCACAGTTGGGATTATAAAATTATCTCACTTTCCTGACAATGTTATCCTAAAAAATGGAACCGCTGAAATTGCATAACCAACTTATTGAAAAAATGGAACTGCTGAAATTGCATAACCAAATTATTGAAAAAATGGAACTGCTGAAATTGCATGACAAAACTATTGAAAAAATGGAACTGCTGAAATAACATAACCTCATGTCCAAGGAACTTCCACTGCAAGCTTAATCGTTGTATCGTGAGAGAAAGAGAAGTTGTAGCAGTTAAAAGTTCATGCTTGTTTGTTACATAATACATACCAAATCTTCATGAACTAGCTCATTACTCTGTATGTCAAGAGTATCATGGATACAGCAGACAGTGAACTGAGCCTAATGGAGCATCTAATATCCCTCACAAAAGCTTGATACGATAATAATATAATCTGGATCCCTAGAATCTCTTTTAAAACAACACGAAAGCCACTACGATGGTAAGGGCTGTAACGATAGGAGTGCATTTAACATTAAGGTTACCAACTTGTACAAGCCAACGTGGTGTGGAATAACTTGTAAACTGCCGCCATTATCGTACATTATTTTGATGCCGATTTACATGATGCGTGAGTTGCATATACATCAAAACATATTCTCCTAAGAAACGATCAAAGAGATTTATTATGCCGTGACGTCCGGTTGTGGTCCTGAGACCAACAGCTCTGACACCTAACACAGGAATCCCGTCCCCACTCAGCGCCAAGTTCAACGCAAGAAATATGAAATAGACAAAAAAATCTCTCCATATTGTTTGGTCCAATATCTTACTGTTGTCGGCCAGAGGTTCAATTGAATGGCAAACCAAATGTCTATTATCTTGGACCCGTGTTTCTATGTGGATGGACAACTAACGAGTCCATAATAACATTTGTAGAGCTCTTAATATCAACCTTAAAGACGCTCAGCACAAATTATGCGCAAAACATTTTTTACCCGGTTAACCCAAACTGCCTGTGAACACTCACTGAACGAACTCACTTGTGTAAGTCGAGACCACATGTATCTCATGTGCTAATTGTGGGGCAGGACTAGTCTGTCTCACAGTCCCTGAACCACAATAATTTCCCTACTGCCAAGCCCTCTCTCTGCAGTGCTAAAGCCCTAAATAAAGCAAGTCTAGATTTCCTCTGGTCTGCCTAGGGCTCCTTTTCAATATAAATCGGCTTGTTTGTTACTATCAAAATTATATATATTCAGAGACTAAGCCTTAGTCTAGGGCAGGACTGACGTCCTAGAAACTCTCAGGAGTCAAGCTGTCAAACACGGTCACCCATCCAAGGACTCCCCGTGACCATCATGATTTCTGACCTTTGCTCTCTATGAACAAGACCATACACCAGTTTTCATGTAAGTGAAAACAAATTTCCCGAACTGTGGATTTAGTTGTCATGTATATGAAAGGTATTACTGTATATATTCTTCATTGATCATACATATATTTCATTATCCTGATGTCTAGTTTCTTATACACTACCCCAACTTCTGTACGAGACATCTAGTATCTTATACATTACTGAAATACCACATGTGATAATTAGTTTCTTACAAATTACCCGAATACTGCACGTGAAATCTAGTTTCTCGTATTTTGTTTCAAATGCATTCTTCATAGCCGACATGGTCGTTTTATACCCGAGATGGGATTTTGAAGTTACTCTGAACAAAGTCAATGTTTGTCCAGATTGAGTGTAGTGGAACAATTATCCCACACCGTGTACGCGTGGGCTTTAAATGGTCGCAATCATAATAATCAGTAACTAGGGCATACCACATGCCATACGTTAACGCCCGTCATTAAGCCACGAAACGCTGAATGTCATATATAATGTACGACAGACATTTAACATGAAATGTATATGACATGTACCATCCCTGATTGATTACACGTCTATCACTTATCTGGCGGTATATTAGTAATGATTCAGGAACATATGTTGCCTCCCCTGCAACATGATACCAGTGAAATAGACATGTACAAGGTTACGATCTCCTGTGCTCATCTAATGTAGTGCATTGTAAACATGTGCTATTACGTGTTATAGGTGGTGCGGTACATTTCACTTGATATCATCATCCACGTGTTTGAGGCGATAATTAAGAAAGACATCAAACTGAGGTGTGGGGTGAGTGAGTTTGGAGGGGTCTTAGGAAGAATGTGGGGAAAGGAGTTGCGTAAGGTGATGGAGATTTGTGGGGTGGAGGGCTGGGGGTGGTGGTGCAATTTGTGAAAGAGACTAATAACAACTGGGTGTCGTAAGTGTAGGTGGGTGGGTGGATTGGTGTGTAGAACAGGTGAGTGTAATTGGTGATAATTCTAGGGAGAAAACGAAGAGTGAGAGAGATGGTGAGAGGGGGATAGATAGAGTGAATGGAGAGAGGGGAGAGGGGTGATAGATAGAGTGAGTGGGGAGGGAGAGAGGTATTATGCAACTGTACCCGCGAACTCAGATTTCTAAAACCCGCTCGTACTAGAACAAAGTCATATGATATCAGTTAAGATAACGTAATGAATATTCGTACGATATGTTAAGACAAAAAACACAGTTATGCGTCGTGCGCGCCCCCTTCCCTCCCCACGTCATCCCAGCGCATATCCCCTTCCCTGCAGCATCCTTCAGAAGCTGCATACCACACTCGCACGTGTTCTGTAACCCGATATTACACCAGTAGTTCCATGGGGGAGACACACTGGTACACACACACATGTCGCAATGCACAGGAATCTGGTCAAGGATGAATGCTTAATGTCGAGAGTTTCGTCTCAGTCTTCATCCAACCTTCATCAGTCTCTATTGATTTATGTCCATCAGATAGTGGAACTAGTTCTTTAAAGGATAGCACCGAGTACCTTTTATATAAGTACTTACTGTAATGGATCAACAGACACTGATAGATACATCCTATATATGAGCCCTGTACAGTAAGAGGAATAGACAGGGCTAAGAGAGGGGATGTTAATGGGGCAGTTATATCATTCTATATTCCACTCAGCGTAATGATAGCACATCTCAAGGATGGTTTGAAAGTAAATATCTTAAGGTGGTGTTAATGGTTTTATGTAAATTAAATTCTACGAGGCAAGTCGAACAGTTACGTCACAACGCACTGGAACACATGCTATGACATCATCACCAATATCCGTTTTAAAGAAGTAATCTTCAGCTGTGTAAGGTTGATAGTAAATACAGCTGTTTAGCCTATCCTAAAATGAAACTTCTCACATATCTAACAATAAATTGGTCTTTAGCACACACCACAACGTTCAGTGCTGGGACCATACGCGTGCTTAGTTGCATCGTAGGATTGTACCGATAAGATCAAAACAAACACCGATCTCGGAAGTTACGGAATGCACAAATGGTTAATATTTTATTAAGCCCAGCGGTTTGTTTACATCGACTAGAGACGTGATCCCTACCTGGTTGAAATGCAAAGATAATTAAACCTGAGAACAATATAAAAACCAATGTGTCACAGTGTGGGTCCGCACTGTGTCAAACATGCAGCCATTCGTCCTACATGATTTGTATGTACTGACATAAGCTAAAACTCGTGTATCGATTGGTGTAATTTCATGTAAATGTGTTATTAGATATGAGTGACTAAAATTGCTATGGCCTATATTAGAAACATCAGCTCCATGGACTAATGACACAAACAGTGTGTTATAAGTTTTAAAACAGACAACAGTTCAATGACTTTGTCGACTGTTGACAAACACACTCAGAAGCATAGCTGATTTCAGCACGAGATTTATTAGTAAGTTGTAAACTTGAAATAATTAGACCAACATCAGATTGTTTTTGTTTTTGTAACAGAAAATACGCGAATAACATGAAGCCAAATGGGGACATAAGGAAGATATAGTCTCCCTCTGTGAATCACTTCACTATCAAGGGTGTAAAAGTGCCCTGCAGATATGGGGATAGTGATGAAAGCTTCTACTCACGTCTCGTCTCAACAGTTTTGCCGTCTGCCACAAGTCGCGAAACTTCAACCCGACAGATCCTCCAAAGGCCGGAGAAAGCTTGAACAAGGTACCTGCGGCTTGCATTGCGATACACACCTCCCGGTATTGATATAACTAGCCAGTTATTGGTACAAATTGCCACAATTTGAAAAAGAAAACCTACAACGGTACCCACAGTGGCTACTATGAGCGCTCTACGCTCGAACGAGGCCTGCGCCGCCATTTTGTAGGATCCTCAGCGTAAACCGATCTGTTAGCAGACGACAAAGGATTTGTCTGCTCGGTACGTCCGCTTAGAGGCACGGCTAGGCCAGAATTGGTAGGAAGCACGCTGGGTGAATGCAAAGGCCAGTTTGGTTCCTCGGCTGTCCGTGACAGTCATCCATTTAAAACTTATAATTCATGTTTTTCAAAATACGTCAGTTCTAGTCAAGCACCAAGCTGGGTTTTCATCGGAAGTCAATGCTGGGGTTCCTGGTTCGGTCGGCCGAGTGCATGGTCGCTCTTGTGTTTACTGTACATCGATCGGACTCGTCCACCGGAAATATGCTGCCTGATTTGCTTCACGTGAGCATGGGGAGGGTAAATTCCTCCATTCTCCAGACTGGTTACATCTTTGCATCCCCACTGACCAGATGTTGTGATATAACGGTCACACGTGCAGAAGATAACCGATGACCAGCCCAGTCCTCGTTACGGCCATATGGGTGCCAGGTATAAACCATTTAAACGTATCGATCCGCCCTCTAAGCCCTCTGTACACACACTGATACGTATCTGAGGGATGAACATACGTTGGGGGGACATTAGTAGGCGGGTTAAAGCCGATGCACTCCTACATTATTGTTAGAGTAAATCATTAATTAAATCGTTCGTGTGTGTTGATTGAAAGTACCATGACGATGTTGCAATGGATACGGTAGCTGCTGTAATGGTGTACCGGTAAAATTGAAAAGGAGAGGTATTCATACAGGCGTCATGCCTGTTTACCTATCAATTCATTTATTGAATAAAATATTGTTTAAATCAGATTGAAAAGAAATAATCACGAAAGTTATTTAACTTATATAATGACTAGTTTTATTGTACGCTTCTTTGAACAATATCACGAACCGAGCACCGATACTCTTCTTGCAGAGATTTGACAGAGGAACCAAAGGCCTCTCACAGACCCGCGATACCCGTGAAGATCCGGGTTAGAATTGATCTTCAGTAATCCATGCTTGTCGTAAGAGGCGTTTAACGGGATCGGGTGGTCAGGTTTGCTGACTTGGTTGACACACGTCATCGGTTCCCAATTGCGCAGATCGATGCTCATGCTGTTGATCACTGGATTGTCTGGTCCAGACTCGATTTATTTATAGACCGCCGCCATATAGAGCGCGGTGTTAAACAACAAACATGGCCCGCGAGGATATTTCATAAAAAACCCACCACCTTTAACTGTTCTATGGTCCATTTCTCACCCCTCCTTCTCCAACTGTTTCTCATTCTCGTTTATAGTATCCATTTCGCGTTCCTTTTTAACGTCTAGGAATAATTCCCCATCCCATCTTTAGTCCAAAAAACCCATTCGCACCCCTTTTCTGCTATACCACAGATTCTCACCACTTTTCAACACACGCATACAAGTCTCACCCCTTTTCAAACTCTAAGTTCTTTTTTACTCAAGGTTTCCTTGACAGGAATATTTTAATTATAAACACAATGAATAAACGTGGGCGCTTAGAGCCTGGCACAGTATGTCAGTATCGTCACTGTGTCAGATGAATGTGGAAGGGAAACCAAACTGGCCCTGTCGACTCGGGCACATTATATGGGAACGTTTATGAAAGATTCGACAAGGGCCAAAGGAGATCGGGACCATTGTGATGTGTTTGTCCAGAAGCTCGATATCACGAGCTAACCTTAGTTTCAGGTCTCTTTCCCATGTGACTCTGTATGTGTGTGTTTGTGTGCGTGCGTGCGTCTTAAGGCCAAAGGCCAGGGTCCCGATCCACAAATCATTCGTAAAGTTACAACCTGTCGTAATTCTATGGTTTACAATGTAGTAGCGCTACGGATGCTCTGTGTATCGGCACCCAAGAGTTCATTCCACACATAGGTACAATGTGGTTTCTAGGAACAGGCGATTCACTCACTCATTACACGAACAATACATTGTACAATTAAACATCACTTATTGCAAACATTTCCTTTTAATTACGTATTCTTCTTCTGAGGTTGTTATTTAAAAAACAGTTTGATAGTCTGAAAAGTGAATACATTTCGTATGTGTGGCTTGAGCAATACCTGATCCCTTTAATGATGAATCACACCTTCCGGTTTTGTCGATCACGTATCCCTCCACGACAAACGAACATGATGCTGCTCGGAAAAAGATATTAAATTTTGTGTGTCTAAATTTAATAAAAATATTTTCAGTACGACCTATTTCAATTTCTGCATTAAGAAACGCAGGTGCTGGACCGACAAACAAACACGAAAAATAAGAATTAAAATATTTTTGGATCAAGAAAAAGGTCGGTCTGCTTTGAAGCGAATAATTGAATATTTTCTCTGATGTTATTTTCCTTCAACAGCTCGTGTATGATTAGACTTATCACAGACCCCATGGGAACAATGCTTCAGGGAAGCATATTGATCCCAGCCAATGTACGGCATCGTTTTGATTCTATTTTAGGATCGAAAGTTGCAAAGTTTAATTATTGATGTAAACGATTGTTCCTTGGGGATGCAAAAACTACCGCCGAGTTAGCTTCAAAACTGAAACGGATAAAATAATTTCTCATCGATTAGGGGAGTCGGGTTGAGGTATTTTTGAAAAATAAATGTTATCTCCTGGATTAGGACAGATCGAGTCTTCTATTTTCAGATGCATTTGCCATGATATCATGGATTAGGAAGTTAATCTGAGTTGAGATGATGCAATTATGTAGGTCACTTTGAGACCGGGTTAGAATATTGATCTTCAGTAACCCATGCTTGTCGTAAGAGGCCACTAACGGGATCGGGTGGTCAGGCTCGCTGACTTGGTTGACACATGTCATAGGTTCCCAATTGCATAGATCGATGCTCATGCTGTTGATCACTGGATTGTCTGGTCCAGATTCGATTATTTACACACCGACGCCATATAGCTGGAATATTGCTGAATGCAGCGTTAAACAACAAACAAACAGTTTAACATATGTTATATTTGGGATTACACTGATTTAGTAACGTACAGATTCTAGTACTTTTTGGAAGCCTCGGTGGCTGAGCGGTCTAGGCGGCTGACTTTGTGTGCTGGCGATTAGGTGCCTGACTCTGAGCGTGTAGGTTCGAATCCCGGATGGGACTCAACCCCAAAAGTACTAGAATCTGTACTTTACTTTAAAGTGTAATCCCAAATATATCATATGCTGCATTTGACCAATTTCTAAAATGGCAAACAATTTGATGAAGATTGAAAGCAGGATGTGATGCTGGGTGTTTATCACGTTGTATAAACCGATACACACGGTAATATGCTGTTGTAGCGTGAAACAGAATCACGTGAATCTAGGAATCGAACCGACGATTGTAGGTTTCTGTCACGCATAAGGGACGCAACTCTGTACAGTGAATTACATGGCCGTGGAAGGGTTGACGATGAACTACTTCGAAAGAATTCTTATCACACATGTATTAGTTTCCCCAACTTTTACCGTGACGGTGGAAACAACATTTATATATATATACTGTCAAAAGTCATTCATAAATATACCCAATTGTTACGTTTACTGAAATCCTATTTCCTATGTTCTTTACTATATATTCAGCAAACGTCGACCAACATCCCTTTATCTTAATCGTCCGGGTTTCATTTTTAAATGTTTAATGCTAATTGGGGCGGTGGGGTAGTCTAGTGGTTAAAGCGTTGGCTCGTCACGCCGAAGACCCGGGTTTGATTCCCCACATCAGTACAATGTGTGAAGCCCATTTCTGATGTCCCCCGCCGTGATGTTGCTGGAATATTGCTAAAAGCGGCGTAAAACCATACTCAGTCAGTCAGTCAGTTTAATGTTAATTTGCAACCCAGCACGTCGCAGTGTGTCGTGTGTGTGTGCACGTGTGATAACTGTCCTGGAATTAGGTTGATGAATATCAGTGTCAAGAAACACTATTCCATTACCATTTTTCAACTTTTAACAATAAATCAGCATCGCTGCTGTCATTTGATAGTTGACCCTGTGTTTCGTCTTGTACCGTCACCCCGGAACTAGTTGGACACTACCAGAATGTCTGTAGCCTAGGATGATTTATCTTCTCAACGTTTCATATGACAAGCGATTAATCAAAGGGTCCTAGAACTAGGTAGCAGTAGCACTTATATTGATGGTATTACGTGTATTTGGTCCGAGTGCAGAGTGTTGTCTAGACATTGTCAGGCAAGATGTATTCTTCCGCCTGGTGAACAACACGTGACTCAATAAAATATATTTCTTCTCCTCCTCTCCCTTCTTCTTTCAGGGGACAGGGATGTCCCAGTCGTCCAAAGTGTCGCAATAACCTGTGCAGAGTTGTCTCTCTTTGGCACCTCAGAAGGCTGTCATCGTTGGTTCGAATCCCCATTCGCCTCGAGTACAGCCCTATCTATATTCATTGGTTTCATCAAGGAGGCAAACATCTACGACATGTGTCATTTCGGTTTTCATTCCAAGTAAAGGAGACACGCAGTGATATGACTCGCATACCGTCCAAAGCGGCGTTAAACCCAAATCACTCACTCACTCTTCTTTCATACTCGACTCAGTAATCTCTGTCAGCAGTACCTGGAAAGTCGTAATGAAGACGTATCCCTGCACGGTTTCGTAGCCAACGAAGTAACGCGTGCCCACATTTCGTCTCCTTTCACACAGTGAAAGAAATTTGTGTCGAAGATATAATAGTTTAATTATGGCTGGAGGAAAATGTTTAAAAGAGATATATTTATAAACAAATGTGACGGATCCATCACCGTCGGATGTGTGCAACACAGCGATAACCTTGAGAAAATACAGATACAGCTATTTTTAGACCAAAGAGACCTTCCAGAAGCTAAATCGATTTTTCCAATTTATATAATCCAAACAAACGGTGTGAGCATATTTAGGCAGACAGTAGATCTGTTACTACTGGACATTGACGATGCCTATGGGATCACTAAACAAGCCTAACGGGATCAATGGAAACACCCGTCATGAGGGTAGTACTTAGTGGGCATTTGTAACATGTCTTGGAAGGAACTTAATGTGGCGTTGCATACATCTGTCATTGGTAACATCAGTCTGACGTTTTTCCTTTTTGGAAAAATGGAAACACAGCGAAGGTTCCGGTACATGTCAATGATGAAAAGTGGAAATATTAGTAAAGTGGTGACTAAATCAGTTTGATGCCAAAGAAAATAGTCATGGTTCCGGAGCTGTTTTCCCAGACATTATCACAGTTGATTCATATTGGTACTATCTACATATCTTCCATTTCTAACCATTATACACTCTACGGCTTAATGTATTAGTAATACCCATAACTTGGGAGTGTCTTTCCACATCAAGCTGGCTTGGTGAGTTGAAGTACTGTTTCGCGGCGTTAAAGGGCCGTGTTTCATTGCTGAACCGATTCTTGTCCTAGGAGGTGATTTACGGGATGGCTTGGTTTGAATAGCTGGTATATGCACGTCGTCGTATCCATTTTAATAGATCAATGCTCGTGGTGTCAATGACAGGAATGTCTGGCCCAGAATCCGT